ATGCATCCCTTACTGGGGACCTGGCCTGCAACCCAGGCATGTGCCCTGACTGGGAATTGAACTAGCGACCCTTTGATTCACAGGCTGGTGCTCAGTCCACTGAGGCACACCAGCCGGGGCTCAGAGGCAGTCATTTTACACTCCCTGGCTCCTTTGATGATCTCAGGAAAGTCATGGGCTCATTCCCAATGACGATACATTCACACAGTTTTGTGTAACATCTGAGAGAATTCACAGACCCCACTACTCCACTGAGCCCATTTGTGGACCCAGACTTGGTGCCTGACCTTACACGGCAGAAGCAGAGCCCCGGAGGAGAGAGGCCTTGCTGCAGGTGACACAGGTGGCCAGGAGCCAGCCCCCGCCCCCTGGAAATGTCAGCTAGGCCTGAGCACCCCACCTGTTTCCTCCTCCATCCCAGGCCCACACGTAGCCTCCATGCTGCCACGCTCCCGGCCAGCTGTGGGTCCCTAGCACCCAATCCAGTCAGTTCCCAGAACACTTTGTCCACTTGGGCCCTCGTAACTCCACTTGACTGTGAGCTCCAGACCCAAAGTCCCGTCCTTTGTTGCGCAGCAGCGGAATCCCCAGTAGCTGATAGCATCAGTGGTCATTCCTGGTGCTCGCTCCCCCCTTAAGCTACCCTTTCTGTGGTGAGCTTTTCTGTAACTAGACCTGCCCTCTAGTCCAGCAGTTCAGCCCTGGTTTGGGCTGTGCCAGGGACACAGTAAGAATAGAGGCAGCCCTGTCCCTCCCCTTCTCAGGTAGCAACAACTCAGAGTGAGCCAGGATGGGAAAGGGGAGCCCAGAGGGGCCACCCAACCTGCCCTGGTGAGGGGCATCAGGGAGGGCTTCCTGGAGGGGGGGACACCTGAGCTGAGGCCACAGTGAGAAGTAGGGTTGAGACGATCCCGGTGAGGGAGAACACGGACACAGACCGAGAGATGCGCTTGCATGGCTTGTATCCTGGAGAAAACCGTGCCTGGGCCCTGCCCACCCAGGGTCTGCGTGTAGTGTGGCCACAGTGGGAGTTTGGACTTGGTCTCTTGAGAGCCTCTGGGAGGTGCAGGGTCATCTTGAGCTTCCCAAAGACTCTTCCGCCTGCCGTATGGAGGGTGGATAGAGGGGGAGGGTAGGGGAGGGGGTTGGCGCTGGAAGCTATGGGACAGAGTAGGCAGGAGCAGGGACCACCTGGGAGGGCGGGGGGAGGGATGTCCTCAGGGTCTGGGAGGTCTGCTCCGGCACTTTCCTCACCTGCACTCCTGCCCCTGTGGCCTGGGTGCCCACCCTGTCCCTCATCCAGCCTCCTCCCTGCCTATCTACCTGCAGTGCCTTCGTCCTCTCCCCATTCCCTACGGGAGCTCCCCCATTCCTCATCGGTGCCCACCCCTGTTCTGCTTTAGCCTCTCGAAGTTTGGGGGCCTTTCTTCTGGCTCAATAAAGACTTCCTGGCTGACAGACTCACATGACCAGTGGTGTTTGGGGAAGAGGGTGGTTAGAGGCAGTTCATGGGGTCCCCCCACTAGCACAGTGGCTTGGAGCACCGCTTCTCCCACTGGTTTCGGGGGTACCACAGCCCACTCCGGAGGGAGCAATCCCCAAGGCCACAGGTGTCTGCATTGTGTCAGCCCTCCTTGGGGTGCTGCTGCCGAGCCGGGAGCTCACATGTGCCCAGGCTTCCTCCCTTCCTTACTGCTCTCTGGGTGGTGTCCGCTGGCAGTAACGCAAGTCCTTAGGCCCCGGTCAGGGTTGAGAGTAGGCAGTCCCCTGGCCAGCCTGCTGGTGGGTGGCCCTCGCTGTGGTGGGGGGGGGGCCATGCTGCCCGGAACAAACCAGAACGGGTCCCAGGTGTTGGCAGAGTGTCTTCTCCGCCTCAGCCCTTCCAAGGGTCGTCCCCAAAGAGAACAGACTGCAGCCTGTCCGCTTGTGCAGTGAGGGGCTTCCAGGAGCTGGCTGTGTCTTTTCCCTTGGCCAAGCTACCAGGCCTTCGAAGGACCAGGCCAGTCTGCCCCCAGAAAGAGACCCTCTGCTGGGTGGGGGAAGTCATCTGTTTTGCCTGGAGCTTCAGGAAGTCCAGGCTGGGTCTGGTCTCACGCACTGGGGCCGAGAGCAGGGCTGACGCTCTCTCAGGGTGGTGGACCTCCCGCCCCCCCGGGGGCGGCCGGGCAAAGAGGACAGGCCCACTCTCCGCCTCCTCGCAGCCACCAACCTATGCTTTGCGGAGCGGAACGTGTACACGTCGGAGGTGCTGGCCGTGGTGATGCAGCAGCTGATGGAGCAGAGCCCCCTGCCCATGCTGCTCATGAGGACCGTCATCCAGTCCCTGACCATGTACCCCCGCCTGGGGGGCTTCGTCATGAACATCCTGTCCCGACTCATCATGAAGCAGGTAACCTGCCCCTGACCATCCAGGCCCGAGGCCGAGGGCAGTGGGACACTGCAGACAGACCGGAGTCAGAGCCCCGGTTTCCCCTGGCCACCTGCCTCCCACCCCTCACGGGAGCCAGGACGAGGGCACGCTGCACCCAGGCCAGCCTGCCCCTGTGCCCTGCCCTTGGCCTGGACAAAGCAGTGCTCCACGGGCTGTAATTCAGCCACAAGGTGGGACAAGATGAGTGAGGGCAGTTAGGCGGTAGGAGCAGGCAGGAGACTTCAGGGTGCACTTCCCAGGAGAGGCATGGCTGCCCTCGGCTCCCACCACTGTGCTTGCAGGCACGGAGCCTCCTAGACCTGAAAGGTGGTCGGTTTTCAAGAGAAGCTAGAAATCTGTATTTTTAGGAACACAGTGGTGAAACAAAAAACAAACCTCATCCACAGGCCCCCAGACTGGATTCAGCCCACAGGTTTCCACCTTACCGCATCTGGCTTAGAGGGTGAATTCACACCAACGGCAGTCAAACCTTGGTTCTGCCCACGGTTACCCCTGTGGTCCCGGACAAGCCCCGGTATCTCCCTGGGACTCTCTGCTTAGCAGGGTGAATGGTGCCCCCTGGAGGCTACTGTGAGAATGAAGTGAGACAAGGCTCTCAACACTTATCCTGGCCTTGACGGTGCAAGGGCCATCGTCAGTTTTCTCCACCCCAAGTTGGCCTCATGTCCCAGCTGCTTGGGGTCTGGAAGCAAAAGTCAGAAGGTCCTCTGGAAGGAGTGGAGGGAGGTCAGGGTTATGCAGCCCGGGGGATTCTGTGGGATGGTAAGGATCTGAGCCCCAGCAAGGCCCCATCTCGGCAAGGTCCTCCTCCCAGTTTCCCGGGTGGCTACTTGCATGCCCCTTATGCCCGCCCCCTCCCTGCCCATCCAGGTGTGGAAGTACCCCAAGGTGTGGGAGGGCTTCATCAAGTGCTGCCAACGCACCAAGCCCCAGAGCTTCCAGGTCATCCTGCAGCTGCCGCCCCAGCAGCTGGGTGCTGTCTTTGACAAGTGCCCAGAGCTCCGGGAGCCCCTGCTGGCCCATGTCCGCTCCTTCACCCCCCATCAGGTACCCCAAGGTGTGGGGTGGGTGGCTGGCTGGGGTGGGCAGAGGGGAGCCCTGCAGTACCAGAGAATGGAAAGGGTTCTGGAGGGTCAGGGGCCAACCAGGGACCGGGCTATCCAGGAGGGGTATCTGGGTCTGAGCTCCCAGTAGCACCCGCCCTACTTTCCCCGCAGCAAGCACACATCCCCAACTCCATCATGACCATCCTGGAGGCGAGCGGCAAGCAGGAGCCAGAGGCCAAGGAGCCTCCTGCAGGGCCCCTGGAAGAGGTGAGGGTCTCCAGTCCCGGACCCCCCACCCAGCCTAGCCATCTGCGTCCCCTCAGCAGGCTCCTGCTGGGCGGGGTCGGGGGACAGCAGCCCCTCACTCCCAGTGCCTGTCCTGCGGCCTGCCTCTGGTGGCTCCTCTCTCTCCTTCCCGCTGTCCTCTGAGAGCAGCCTGGGTCCTGACCCCCGCCTGTCCCTGAGCTTCGGTGTGCCCCTCCCCACCCCCAGGATGACCTGGAGCCCCTGGCGCTGGCCCCGGCCCCTGCTCCCCGGCCCCCTCAGGACCTCATTGGCCTGCGGCTGGCCCAGGAGAAGGCCTTGAAGCGGCAGCTGGAGGAGGAACAGAAGTTGAAGCCTGGGGGCGTGGCAGCCCCTCCCTCCTCGTCCTCGTCCTCGTCCTCTGCCAGGCCAGGCCCCCCGCAGGGCGCCCCCCAGCCGGAAGAAGCCATGGATTTCCGGGAGGAGGGGCCTGAGTGTGAGACCCCCGCCATCTTCATCAGCATGGATGATGACTCGGGGCTGACCGAGGCCGCTCTGCTGGACTCGAGTCTTGAGGGGCCCCTACCGAAGGTAGGGATGACAACCTCAGAGCGGCAAAGAAAAGCACCAGGCCCCCGGGGTGATGCGTGTGTGTCTTGTGCCCACACTGGGGTGACGGGGAGGGTACAGCCCGAACAAAAGCTTGGAGGTGAGAGCAGCTCCATCTTCTGTCACCAGGAGGCAGCAGTGGGCGGGTTGACGTCGAAGGAGGAGAGGAGCCCCCAGACCCTCACCCCTGCTGGAGAAGACACCGCGAAGACTCCCAGCCCCGCTGCCACCTCCGCCGCGGAGGAAACCGGGGAACCCGAAACCAAGGGGAACAGCTGACGGGGCTTGGTGGGGAGGGGAGTGGGGGTTGGGGGGCGGGGTGGTGCTTTGCCTTGAAAAAAAAATTAAAAAGAAAAAAAACATCGTGGGTCTAGGGTGCGGGTGTAGTCTCATCTCTGCAGCGAGTCCGCCAGGGGACTGCGCGGAACCGAATGAGCGCGCCGAAGGGCCCGCGGACCACTGGGAGCCCCTGGGGCCTGGGGCTGCGCCTGCGCAGGCACCTGCTCTTTGGCCCGTGCCTCGCCTCGCGTCCCCGGTAACGGGTAACGGCCCGCCCCTCCCTCCTTAGAAACAGGAGGGCTGGCCTAGCCGCTACTAGGCGGGTGTGGGCAGGCAACTGGTCCGCCTGGTTGCAAGCCTCCCTCTGAGAAGTCTGCCACCTCTTTTGGACTATGGGGGACCCGCAGCAGGACCCTGAACTGTCTTACCAGCAGTCCGCGAGGCAGAGAAGTTCCCAGGACCAGGGGCGCAGTCGGGAGCAATCTCTGTCCCAGGAGACGCAGCAGCTGCCGCTTGACGCCCAGGTCCTGAGCGGCATTACTGAGATGCCCGAGAGCCAGGCCCCCCTCCAGGGGTGGGCACAAGGGGCCGGCCTGAGTCAGTATGACAACTCGGCGGTGTCCCAGGGTGGCGTACAGTACCTGTCCATGAGTGCAGGCTTTCCCGCGGATTTCCAGCGCCAAACTTATGTGGACGAAGGCAGGGTCCAGGCCACCCACAATGCCGACTTCATGCTGCAGCAGCTACAGCGGGGCCAAGGCAACCTCCTTCAGCAACTGGAGTCATCCTTCCAGGATCCCCGGCCCAACTACCTGGGCCAGTTCAACGCGTACCAGAGAGAAGACTCGCAGTTCGGCCAAGGCACCCAGCACGGGCCCTACACCAGGGATGACCCCACCCTCCAGTTCTCGTCCTCTGAGCTGAGCTTCATGCCCTTCAATATGGAGGTGTCCGAGCCGGAGCCCCGGGAGTTGGCCGTGCAAAACGCCAAGGCCTACCTGCAGCAGACCAGCGTCAGCTGCGACCTCAGCCTGTGAGAGGGGACTCCGGAGTGGGGGAGGGGTGGGACCCTGCCTCGGGCTCCAGGGTCTCCTCAGATGGGGGGCCAGCCCTCTGGAGAATCGGCAACTGCTCTGGAGCCCTCTGACTCAGACTAGGGGTCAGAACAAAGGCTAACAACTAAAAAGTAAAACAACATTGACTTAGCAGACATCGGTGGGGGCCCTTCACGCATTAACCTCTAGTTCTCATGGCTGAGATTCGTACATCCCCTGTCCCCTTTTTTACAGTGGGAGAAACTGAGGCCCAGAAATTAGGTCCCACATCCAAGATAATAACAGTGAGGGTGTGGCAGAGCCTGGGTTCCAGCACCAGTGGGCTGGCTCGTGTGGCCCTGTTAGCCACCAAGCTGTCCTGCTTGAGGAAGGCACGTGCCCAGGCCACTTGGCTGCAGGCATCATACACCTCTTGGCCCACCCTTCACAGTCCAGTGGGAGAATGGACAGCAGCTATTACAAACGATCAGGTGATAAGAACTAAAGTGAAAACCTAGGGTAGGGCGAGAGGTATAAAGAGAGCATGTTTAATAGCATGATGACAGGGAAGGCCTCTCTGAGGAAGTGACACTTAGTGACCTGAAGGCAGTGAGGGAGAGCACCTTGCAGGCATCTGGAGGAAGTGTGGGCCAGGGAGAGGACACAGCAAGTCTGAAGGCTTTAGGACTTGCTCTGAGGAACAGCAAGGAAGCTGTTTTGACGAGAACCAAGGGAAGGGGGGTTGGGAGTGGGAAGCAAGGGTGGAGGCCTGGCTGACGCACAAAGCTGACCCCATCCCTCCCGTGTGCAGAGCCCGTCTCGGTTCCCAGTGCCCTCAGAGGAAGGCCTGTGCTCCTCACAACAGCCTTCAAGGCCCTGTACAAGTCAGCTTCTGCCTGATCACCAAATTTCATCTAGAATTGAGTCAAAATTAACCATTAGCACTTACTTCTTTGACAGTTCCCCTCCCTCTAGAGCTTCAAGGCCCCTTATTGAAAAGCCCTGGCTGGCATAACTCTGGATTGAGTGCGGGCTGCGAACCAAAGCATCACAGGTTCAATTCCCAGTCAGGACACATGCCAGGGTTGCAGGCCACGACCCCCAGCAACCACACATTGATCTCTGTCTCCCTCTCTCTCTTCTCTCTCTCTTCCTTCCCTCTCTAAAAAAAAAACAACAACAACAAAAAAACCCTGGCCAAATTCTGACCTCTCCTTACCCTTCCCAATTCAGTGATGGCCCTCCATCACACCCCCGCCCCAAGACTTGCCAAAGATTTTCCATGCCACAGATGGCTAGGTGCTTTGAAATCAGACAAACCTAGTTTTAAATCCCATCTGTACTACCAACTACTGTGTGACCTCATGACCTCAACTTTTCTAAGCCTTAGTTTCCTTATCTGGAGAGTGGGGATTATAGTTATTCTTTAAATATATGACTGTGTTGAGAATTCAACTCTCAAGTGCCCCAAATAGTGCCTGACTTGGCCGATGGAAACTGTACCAATACTATTATCACTCCAGCCTCCTCTCCAACCACAACCCCCTTCCCTCAGTCCTGCAGCCTCACTGACTTCCTTAGTGTTCCCCCCACATTCCGGGCACCCCCTCAGCTCAAGGCCTTTGTACATCACTCCCAATCATATCACCTGTACACCATGACTGTCTGGCTTCTTCCTCTTCAATACTTTTTCATGTCACATTGCATTGGCTGAGACCTCCAGTGCCTATTTAATCATATTTATCATATTTAATAGAAGTGAAAGCAGGCATCTGCAATCCCAGTCTCATGGTGGAAAAGAGTCTTTAGCTATTATGTTTGTGTGTGCTGTAGGTGACCTATGGCTACCCTTTATCAGATTATTTAAAAATTGCCTTCTATGCCTAATTTTCTAGGCTTCTAAAAATCACTACTGAAGTGATCTGACACATATCCCCTTTAACACACTGGCATGAGGAATTAGAGGGTTTTTTTTCTCTAGTGTCAGTCTGGTCTCGCGTCCCTGCCATTAGCCCAGTTTTGTCATGGCGCGCCTTCCTTTTGAGCAATTGCTGGATGCCATTTGCTAATATTTTCCTTAGGATTTCAGCATCTCTAATTCTGAATGAGATCAGCATGGAATTATAATTTTTCCTTTCCCCTAGTTTCCTTGAGTTTCAGCATCAAGATTGTCGTCGACTCAGCGTCTGTGCTCCTTCTGTTCCCTGTGACTGAAACAGCTCCCCGCCCCCAACATCTGCATGGTTTTCCCCTCACTTCATTCGATCTCAGCTTCCATGTCACCTCCGTGAGGCCTTCCTGGCCTCCCTGTTGGAAATCGCAAACTGTCCCCTATCCCCAACATTCCCAGTCCCCACCCCCTGCTGTGTCGTCTCTACGGAAATTACCACGCCCCTGGCACTCTGTGTGTCTTGTATGTTTGCTGAATGTCTGTCTCCACCATCAGAATGTTAGCTCCCCCAGGGCAGAGACCTTGTCTCTTCTTCCCCGCGTCCCCAGCGCCAGGCCAGAGCCAATCACACGGCAGTGGGCTGAAGTGAGTGCTGTCCCCCACCTCCCGCTCCCTCGGGAGGCAGGTACGAGCACCTGGTGAACGTGCTGACCAAAATCCTGAACCAGCGGCCCCAGGACCCCTTGTCGATCCTGGAATCACTGAACCGCACGGCGCAGATGGAGTGGTTCCACCCCAAGCTGGACACGCTGCGGGATGACCCAGAGATGCAGCCCACCTACGAGATGGCGGAGAAGCAGAAGGCACTGTTCGTGCGGGGCGGCAGCGGTGAGGGCGAGCAGGAGGTGGAGGAGGAGCCGGTGAGTGAGCGAGCCAGTGGGGCGAGCGCAGGGGCTGGGTGGGGGGTGGGGTGAGCGGTAGCCCAGGCTTGGGCACAGCGGGTTCTGAGTCTTGGAAGTGAGGGAGCGCAGGCAGGGCCCAGCCCGGAAACACAGACCATCTCAGTCTAGTTGGTGTGCCCAGCGGAGGGGGCCGGGGCCCTGTCACAGAAGACCTCGCACGCCAGGCTAAGAGTTGTAGGCTTTCTCCTGAAGCCACTGGAGTGCCATGGAAGAGTTTGAAGCAGAGGAAAGGCTGGTGGATCAGCTCTGCGCTTTAGAAAGCTGACTCCAGTCCTGGTGGTGCGGCTCAGTGGATTGAGCGCCAGCCTGTGAACCAAAGGGTCGCTGGTTGGATTCCCAGGCAGGGCAGGTGCCCAGTAGGGGGCGCACGAGATGCAACTACACATTGATATTTCTCTCTCCCTTCCTTCCTCTCTGTCTATAAATAAATAAATAAACAAATAAACAAACAAACAAACAAATAAATAAATAAAATGCTTAAAAGAAAGAAAGAAAGCTGACTCTAGCTGGCACGTGGAAAACGTGGAGGTGGAGGCTGGTGTCTCCCACCATCCATTACTCCTCCCTCACGAAAGTAACAGCTTTGTACACGTTTTCTGGGAAACACTGCCTCCTGGAGTCTCTCACACGGAACTGCCCCTTATCCCCTGAATTCCGTTTCCCCTTTTGTAAGCCGAGACCTGGGAAGAACTCTTCCACCTGTGACTCCGTGACTCATTAACATGCTACTAGTTTCCAGAATTGGACGACTGCCTAAAATTCGGGTGAAATATTCTTTCACTTGTTCAAGAAACAAGGACTCTCTATTTACCGTAATTCTGACACCAATTACGCCCTCTGAGTTCTTTCAGCCCTGAAGTGGCCCTGCCACGCAAGCGCTGCCTGTTATTCTTATTTGTAGAGGAAAGACGTAAGCTCTGAGGGCCGGAAGCTCAGGAGGCTGGAGACAGGGAGGCAGGATCTTGACCTCCAGAGCCCCTGTAACCCCTCCCCGACGTGCAGATGCCTCTGTCTGTGCTTGCTCTTTTGTTTCTGAGATTCTAGGATTCTGGCGACAGTGGGGTGGCTTGGTGAGAGAATGCAGGAACGACGGTCTTGACAAAGAAATGAGCCCTTGTGAGCAGAGCACAGGTGGGAATACAAGTTCCAGGCACGAAGGACAGTTTTATCTGAGAATGTGGTTTTAAGTTTCCAGATCAACAGTCTGTCCTGGGGAGGCCACGCCTCGTTAGAACTGCACCCTCCCTCCCCAACGCCCCCGGGTTGCACCCCCATCCAAAGCAAGTCCTTGAAGGCCCTGCCTTCTTAGGATGCTTTGCCCCTTGAGGCTCCGCCCCCTTAGGACTCCTCGTCTCAAGCTCCACCTCACTGAAATTTAATCCCCTGGGAGACTCCGCCCCCTCAGAACTTGGAGCAGAAGGGGGTTTTAGCTATTATTTATTTGTTTTTAGAGAGAGGGAAAGAAAGGGAGGAAGAGAGGGAGAGAAACATCAATGTTCCAAAGGAACCATGTCCATCTGCTGCCTCTTGCAGGCCCCCTACTGGGGACCTGGCCCACAACCCAGGCACTTGCCCTGACTGGGAATCGAACCAGGGATCTTTTGGTTTACAGGCTGGCGCTCAATCTACTGAGCCACACCAGCCAGGGCACCTTGAACTTTTTATTACCTTGAGCTTGCAAGTGCTTGGTAGGGATCACTGTACTTTCCAGAAGCTGTCCACAGACCTTAAATGAGAAACTCACCTCTTTGGTCTGATTTTTTCATCCTGACTTTAAGTGGGGCTTGTATGTCTTTGTTATATGTGTGTTTGTTCATTTGAATCCTCACCCAAGGACATGCTTATTGACTTTAGAGAGAGGGGAAGGGACGGAGAGAGAGAGGGAGAGAACCATGTGAGAGAGAAACATCGATCTGTTGCCTCTTGTACATGACCCAACTGGGGATTGAACCTGCAACCTAGGTATGTGCCTGACTGGGAATCAAACCCACAACTTTTGGTTTCCAGGATGACGCTCCAACCAGCTGAGCCACGCTGGCCAAGGCTGTATGTTTTCTTGAACCACAAGTAAGCCTCTTCCCGTGAGCTAAGTTAAGAGAGCTGAATGGGTGTGTGAGCCAAAACTATTTGGCTTGCAGGAATAGACACCTATGAGAGCTTGCTAAAATAAAGGGGAGGGGTGGGGTTTATCATGAAGATAATAAGGCATTTCCCTTATTAGAATCGGGGCACTTACCTGAGCTGGGCCATAGGGATAGCTGGGCTGTAGGAGTAGCTGGACCCAAGCTCACCAGCTCTGATCCTGATTTTCTTTCTTCATTTCTCTCTGCAAACTGGCCTCCGTTGTCTCTCTGTGTGGAGGGTCAGCCGCTGCACATTCACCTATTTCACATCCAAACACGCGGAGACATTGGCCCCTCACTTAGTTCCCTGTTGCCACTGGAATGAATCACCAGAAACTTCGTGGCTAAAGACAACTTTTTTTTGCGGGGGGCATCGGGAGGGAAATTGAAATAGATAAGAGACAGACAGACAGAAACATCGATTTGTTGCCCCGCCTACCTATGCATTCACTGGTAGCTTCTTATATGTACCGTGACCCCCGGGGATCGAACCCGCAACCTTGGCTTATGGGGACGAAGCCCTAACCAACTCACCTCCGGTCAGGGCAGGCACATTGATGTGTTACTGTCTTGTAGCTCTGGAGGTCAGAAGCTGAAACGGGGGTTCACCAGGCTAAAATCAAGGCGAAGGCAAGGGCTGCCTCGCTAACAGAGGCTCGGGGGAGGAGCTGTTTCCTGGACTTGTCCTCCTTCGAGGGGCCGCCTGCATCCCTCCCTCAACCATCTCCAGAGCCGGGGGGCAGGACAGCCTCTTCGGGTCTCTCTCCGACTCCAACCCCTGCTTCCGCCACCACGTCTCCTCTGACTGGCCTGCCTGTGGTTTATTTCCTCGGCCCAGCCGATACCCCAGGACACTCTCCCCATCTCCGCTCCCCGGTTTCATCACACGTGCAAGTCCCTTTCGCCGTGTGAGGTCGCATGTTCACAGGTCTCAGGATTAGGACAGGGACTCTTTTAGGAGGTCACTGTTCCGCCTCAGATGCGCCCTTTCTCTCCATCCTGATTTCAAATTTGGGCGAGGGGGCAGGCGTTTCCCTGGCCCAGACCACTGGCCGAGGCCGCGGGCTGGTCACGCTGACCTCGGGAGGAAGGACCTCGTCAGTTTGTTCTCCAACATATGACACACGTCAGTGCCTGCACCAGCCCGGGGCTGGCACCCACTGGATTTTTTTAATTTAAATTTTATTTTTTAATGGTAGAGCGAGGGAAAGGGAGGGAAGAATAAGGGGAGAAGTACTGATTGGCTGCCTTTCACACACACCTCAGCTGGGGACTGAACCTGTAACCCAGTCACGTGCCCCGACTAGGAATCAAACTAGCGACCTTTCAGTGTGGGGGACAACGCCCAGCCAACTGATCCACCCAGTCCAGGGCACCTGCTGGACTTCTGGGCCCCAGCCCAGTGGCTCAGTTGGTTAGAGCTTAGTCCCCATACGCCAGTGTTGCAGGTTCAATCCCTGGTCAGGACACATACAAGAATCAACCAATGAATGCATAGATAGGTAGAACAACAAATCAATGTTTCTCTCTCTCCTTCCCTCCCTTCCTCTCGCTCTCTCTCTAAAATCAATAATTAAAAAATTTAAGAATTTTCTGGACTGACTGAATGAAAAAGTATTGGGACAGCTGTGGCCACACGGATGTGGTGGTAGCTGAGCTCAAACCTCCCTGTATTCTAGTTCCAGCCCCAGTCCTTGACTTACTTGCTCTCACTCCCTTTCTCATTTCTCTCTCTCTCTCTCTCAACAAAGCAGACAGTGAAAAAGGAGGCAGTGAGGGCAGGACTTACCATCACCATCCCCAACATCACTAATTCCTGAGTTCAAGCCTGCCTCTTCCCTTAATTTGCTGTGTGATTTGGGGTATCTCTTAAGAGTGTGTTTGGTTGCAAGCAACCAAAACAGTGACGAGAAGTGGGGAGGTAAGGCAGCCCAGCGATGCCTTTGGGGACCAGGCAGTTTCCACCTTTCAGCTCTACCACCATTGGAGTGTAAGACATGTGTTGCCTCCTGATCCCAAGATAGCTGCTTAGCTCCAGATTTCACACCCCACTCCAGGCAGGAACAAGGGGAAAGGATGCAGAAACAAAGGATTTTCTCTTAGTGTGATTTTGTCTTTTCTTTGCCATCAAGTGGCATCCTCCCCAAGGACTTGCCTGGCTTCTAACTGCCAGAAGGGTCACAGGAGCAGCTGGGTTACCCAGTAGCTTAGCTCTCTGGACTCTGGAAGAGTTAGGCTAGGGAGCAGGGCTTCAGCCTCCCTCCCTCTGCCCCCCGCCCGCCCTCCGCAGTTGGAGACAGCCGTGCCCAACGTCATGGAGTCAGCCTTCTACTTCGAACAGGCCGGCGTGGGCCTGAGCTCAGACGAGAGTTTCCGAATCTTCCTGGCCCTGAAGCAGCTGGTGGACCAGCAGCCCATCCACACCTGCCGCTTCTGGGGCAAAATCCTGGGGCTCAGCCGCAGCTACCTGGTGGCGGAGGTGGAGTTCCGGGAGGGCGAGGAGGACGTGGAGGAGGAGGAGGTGGTGGAGGAACTGACTGAGGGCGACGTCTTGGACATGCACGGCGAGGAGGAGGGTGAGGAGGATGAAGAGAAGGTCTCTGACTTCCTTCCCAAGCGCATGTGGAAGCCCCCACCCGTTATCCCTAAGGAGGAGAGCCGCTTGGGCGCCAACAAGTACCTGTACTTCGTGTGCAACGAGCCAGGCCGGCCATGGACGAAGCTGCCCCACGTCACCCCTAGCCAGATCGTGCAGGCGCGCAAGATCAAGAAGTTCTTCACCGGCCACCTGGACGCGCCGGTGATCAGCTACCCTCCCTTCCCGGGCAACGAGGCCAACTACCTGCGGGCCCAGATCGCACGCATCTCGGCTGCCACGCACATCAGCCCCCTGGGCTTCTACCAGTTCAGCGAAGAGGAGGGTGATGAGGAGGAGGAGGGTGGCGCGGGGCGCGACTCATTTGAGGAGAACCCCGACTTCGAGGGCATCGCGGTGCAGGAGCTGGTGGACTCCATGGCCAACTGGGTGCACCACACGCAGCACATCCTCCCGCAGGTGAGGACTGGGACCCCAGCCCCCGCTGGCCTCGGAGCCAGCTGGCTCAGGTGTGGCTCCCCGGCAATATCAAGTGTCTGCTGTCTGCTAGCCATTGTGCTCAACATTCATTCATTCCTTCATTCGCGCATCCATCCATTCCTCATTCATCCATTCATTCACTCACTCATCCATTCCTCATTCATTCATTCGCTCATTCATCCATTCCTCATTCATTCATTTACTCATTCCTCTATTCCTCATTCATCCACTCCCCATTCCTCACTCATTTATTCACTCACTCATCCATTCCTCATTCATTCATTCATTCACTCATTCCTCCCTTCCTCCATTCCTCATTCATTCACTCATTATTCTACTCCTCATTCATTCATTCACTCATCCATTCCTTATTCATTCACTTATTCCTTCTTTCCTCTATTCCTTATTCATTCATTCACTCACTCATTCCTTCACTCACTCATTCCTCCATTCCTCATTCATTCATTCTCTCATTTGTCCATTCCTCATTCATTCACTCACTCACTCGTCTCTTCAAAGATGTTGGTTGACAGTCCCTTGTCAGAATCCCCTGGGCCCCATGCATCTTGGAATCCTGAGTCTTTCCAATTTAAAAAATGTGACAGCACATACCCCATGTCCCATGTGTAACACCTCAGGCAGGGATAGGGCTGCAGCCCGTACTCAGAGGCACAGTTGTTGCTTCTGCAGCAACACTGCACGGCCTCTCGTCAGTCAGAGCAGGGCAAACAAAGGGTTACATGGGCTGCCGAGTGGCAGCACCGCAGGACAGAGATTTCTGGTGTCTTTCCTCAAGGATGCATTCCCAGCACCTGGAGCAGCACCTGTGTATAGTATATGCTTGTTAAATGTCTGATGAATGAATGAATGGATGGGTGGATGCACAGATGGGGGCCACACAGCCAGCGGGAGGCAAGCATCCCCACCTCATGCAATGCAGCGGCTCTCCTGGCCCATCCTCTGCCCTGACCTGTGTGACTAACCCGGGCCTCCTACCCATAACCTGGGTCCTCAAGGACAACCCCAGTGTCCTGCCCGGTCCTTCACCTCTTCTCAGGGTACAGGCTGGCCTCTGTCCCGTGGGGTTGCTACCTGACCTTCCCCCCACCTGCAGGGCCGCTGCACTTGGGTGAACCCTTTGCAGAAGAAGGAGGAGGAGGAGGAGCTGGGGGAGGAGGAGGAGAAGGCCGATGAGGGGATGGAGGAGGTGGAGCAGGAGATTGGGCCCCCGCTGCTGACGCCGCTCTCAGAAGACGCAGGTACTGGTCCTCCTCAGCTTGTACCACCAGCCTGGAAGGGGGTTGTGGAGTGGGGGAGGGGACGAGAAAGGGAGGGCAGTGACATTGAGAAGTCATCTCTCTGAGCCTCTCACCTATAAAACGGATGTGATGACAGTGCCTCCTCTCAGGGCTACAGCAAAGTGTCCACCTTGTGAGCCACGTCTGGCTCATGGCAGTGCCCACCTGGTGGGCTGTGCTCTTTTTTTATTTGGGGGGGTAAGGAGGGGATGGAGAGAGAGAGAGAGAGATGTGATTTGTTGGTTATTTAAGAATTTATTGGTTGATTCTTTTTAAAATGTTTTATTTATTTTTAGAGAGGAGAAGGGAGAGAGAAAGAGAGGGAGAGAAACATCAATGTGTGGTTGCCTCTTGTGCACCCCCTACTGGGGACCTGGCCCGCAACCCAGGCATGTGCCCTGACTGGGAATCAAACTGGTGAACCTTTGTTTTGCAGGCCAGTGCTCAATCCACTGAGCCACACCAGCCAGGACTGATTCTTTTTTTAAAGACTTTATTTATTTATTTTTTGAGATAAGGGAGGGAAACATCGATGAATGAGAGATATATCAATCTCTTGCACGCCCCCCCATCAGGAACCTGGCCCACAACCCAGGCATGTGTCCTGGCTGGAATCGAACTGGTGACCTTTTGTTTCACAGGCACTCAATCCCCTGAGCCACACCAGCCAGGGCTATTGGTTGATTCTTGTTATGTACACACCCTGGCCAGGGATTGAACCCACAACCTTGGTGTATGGGGACAACACTCCAACCAACAGAGCCACCTGGTCAGGGCAGGATGTGGTTTTTTGAGTCCAGCATGGGCTTGGGGAAAGAGAGAGAGAATTAGGAAGGCCTTGCCAGAAAAGGCAGGACTTGAGCTAGATTTTGGAAGAACAGACAAGTGTTTCCTGAGGTTGGAACCTCAGGCACCTGGAGGAAGCGGGAAGGAGAGACTGAGAGTGGGCGAGTGAACAGAGACCATGTTTTGACCCCGATATCTGTGGACCCCGTGCCTGTGCCCTGCCCTCTGCCCCCTGGTCCAAACCAATGGCCAACCGCAGGGAGAATGACAGCAGCTGTCCTGTCTGGGGCCCAGGACTCACTGCTGCCCTGCAAGGGAGGTGAGATTAGTGTCCCCCTCCCCAGGTGCAGGGACTGAGGGTCAGACAAGGGCACAGCTTTCCGAGGGCACAGCTTTCAGGGGGACACAGCAAGAGGGTGGTCCAGAGCCAGGCCATGAATCCCCACAGTTCTCTTCGTGGCCTTCCTCAGTTTCCCTCGTCACCCCCTTCCTCCCCTGCCCTCCACAGGGCTGGGCAGGGCATGGGGAACCAGCAGGAGAGCCTCTGACCTTCCTGAAGCTCTTCACCCCCTCCCCCCACAGAAATCATGCACATGTCGCCCTGGACCTCCCGCCTGTCCTGCAGCCTCTGCCCACAGTACTCCGTGGCTATCGTGCGCTCCAATCTCTGGCCGGGGGCCTACGCCTACGCCACTGGCAAGTAGGTCTTCTCCTGGCCCCCCAGCAGAGGAAGCCCCCGCAACAGGCAGCAGGGACAACTCACCAGGGTGGGCAGAGATTGGGAGGGAAGCCCCCTTCAGAAAGCCCCCTGGGCTGAGCCCCTCACTCTTCTCTCACGGATTCCACTTGGGCTGAAGTGAGGAATCCCACACCAGAATGTAAGCCCCCGGGGTAAGAGAATGGGGATCAGAGAGGGGAAGGAACTGACTCAGGGTAACACAGCATGTGCAGGATTCGAACCTGGTTCTCTGGCACCCTGGCCCAGGCCTTTTCTGCTGTATGGGTCACAGAGCCTACAAGACTCAGGTGTGCCCTTTGGGGCGGCCCTGACAGGGGGGTGGGGGGGTCTTCTCTATGGGGGAGCTAACTACTTCTCTGGGCCCCCTGGCCAGGTCTTCCAGTTTGAAGGGTTTTCTCTCTGTGGGCCAGAAATCATCCTCAGCAGGATCCCCCATCAGTTGCCCCAAAAGATTTGCAGGCCGGAGTCACTTTTGCGTCTTCCCACCGGAAGCGGCACACTCTCTACCAGCCCCTCTGCCCCTCTCCCCAAGGCACATTCCTGCCTTTCTGATCAACCACTAGAGGGCGCTACCTGCAGCTACAGGGCGGACGCACTTAGCAGCTCTGTCCACCAGATGGCGTGACGATTTCTCAACAGATTTTCCTTTTCTATCTCAATGATAAACCTGCTCTTTTTGACTACTGTGATTCACAGTCCAGGTGGGATTTCATGTCATCCTGGTACTTTAACCACATACTTGGCGATTATTTTTTTCTCCTCCAGAAGCAGGGAAGAGGCACGCTTGCTTTTGCCAACACCCATCTTCTGGCCACACCCTAATTTGTCAATATCCCTCTGAAAGCAAAAGGTCCAAACTGGGAACTCCACTCACCTGTCCATCCTCTCCCCACCCAGCCCAACCTACCCATCCACCCACCCTCCTGTCCACCACCCAGTCACTCATCCATCCACACATCCTTTCCGTTTATCTATACTTTTTTAAATCTTTTCATCATAGAGGACTTGAATGACAGCCGTTTGCTGGGCACCAGGCCCTCTGTTGATTAGGTAGGTGTGGACCCTGCCCTGGGAGCGGGCAGAGGAAGCACAGGCGTTAATTGTATAACACCTCTCACCACCCCTCACTCCCCCCAATATCCTAAAGTGATACCACCAAGGAGGGACCAATGACAGCGCCTGTCCATCCGTCATGCCTTGAGGGGATCAAGGAAGGATTCCTGAGACGAGCAGACTCCGATCTGAAATCTTTTGGGAAAGAAAGAAGTAGCGGGGACGGGAAGAGGCGGAAGGACATTCTAGACCAAAGCTTCTCACACTCTGAGTCCCGGGTCGCGCTGAGGAAGCTGGGGAAGCACAGGCTCCGGCTGCATGGGTGCGGGGTGGAGCCCGAGATTCCGCCCTCCTCGTAAGCTCAGCCTCTGGATGAGGCTGCTGGTTCCTGGACTGCAAGGACCAGGGTGGGCAAGGGTTGGGGGCTTCCGTGCATTTGAAGGCTCCGAGGAAGACCTGGAGGACAGCTATTCTCTTGGGAATGGCAAGGTCAAAGCCAAGTGTTCCGATGGCAAGATGGCAAACTCTCTGTCCCTCTCTGTCCTGCTGTCTCCCTTTCTCTCCCCACTTCTCCCTGCCTCTCGCCCTGTCTCGCAGTCCCCTGCCTAGTCCCCCACTCGCTCCTCTTTCCTTTCTAATTAAAAGTCTAGGGGGAGGTGACAGTTCACCTCTCCTCACCAGGACCCCACCCTTTCTGTTCTTGTTTATTATCAGTCTTCTACCTCTGGCAGGGGTGTCCAAACTTGCTTTAAAAAGAAAAAAAGATTTTATTTATTTATCTTAAAGAGATAAGGAAAGGAGAAAGAGGAAGAGAAATATAATGTACAAAAGATACATCGATCAGTTGCTTCTTGTATGCCCCCAAATGGGGACCTGGCCCTCAACCCAGGCTTGTATTCTGACTGGGAATTGAACCTGTGATATTTTGGTTCGCAGGCCAGCGCTCAATCCACTGAGCCACACCAGCCAGGGAAGGGGTGTCCAACCTTTTGACATCTCTGGGCCACACTGGAAGAAGAAGAGTTGTCTTGGGCCATACATTAAATACACAAACACTGATGAAAACTGATGAGCAAAAAAAAATGTTAAGTAAATGTATGATTTTGTGTTGGGCCACATTCATAGCCATCCTGGGCCACATGTGGACACCCCTGTTAGAGAGCAGGCCCCCTGCAGGGATTTCCGTCGGTTTGTTCCCTGCTCGCTAGGTCCCCGCATCTGGACCAGTGCCGTCTGGCACAAGCACAATACCAGCCACACGGGTCATTTTTCATTTTCTGGTGGCCGTCCGCAACCAGTAAAAATAAACAGGCAAAATCCATTCGAATATGTTTTATTTAGCCCCAAATAGCCAAAATATTATTGTTACAACATGAAATCATCAATGTAAGAATTATTAACAAGCTATTTCACCTTCTCTCCTACTAAGTCTTTGGAGTCTGGTGTGAAGTTTTCGTTTACAGCACATCTCTGTTCGGATCTAAATTTTCACCATAAATACTTGACCCACATTCACATTTCACAACATTTACCATCGCAAAAGCAGACGTATGTGCCCACCTTGTCCCACTGATGCTTAGACGTTTTCAATACTGAATATTGGCTTTATTATTTAAATTCATAAAAAAAATTCATTTATTGTTTTGAGAGAGACAGTGCTTTGTTGTTCTACTTATTGATACATTCACTGGTTGATTTTTTTAAAAGATTTTATTTATTTATTTTTAGACAGAGGAGAAGGGAGGGAGAAAGAGAGGGAAAGAAACATCCATGTGTGGTTGTCTTTCGTGTGAACCCAGGCATGTGCCCTCCCTGACTGGGAATCGAACTGGCAGCCCTTTGGTTCACAGGCTGGCACTCAATCCACTGAGCCACACCAGCCAGGGCTTCCTTGATTGATTCTTGCATGTGTCCTGACCAGGAATCAAGCCCACAACGTTGGTGTAATGGGATGATGCTCTAACCAGCTGAGCTACCCAGCCAGGGCTATTGTTTACATTTAAATGAATTAAAATTAAATAAAATCCACTCTGGCCAACAAAAGCAGCATACATATTCTCCAGTGCACATGGAACATTCTTCAGGATAGACTGTACACTAGGCCATAATACAAGACTTAATAAATTGCAAAGGATTGATCACACAAAAGAAGTTTTCCAACCACAGTGGAATGAAATGAGAAATCAGTTAACAGAAGGAAATTCACAAACATGTAGAAATTAAGTAACACATACCTAAATAACCAATGGGTCAAAGAACAAATCACAAGTGAAATTAGAAAAGTAAAGCAAATGACAAATTCAGTGTTTTGGGTGCACTAACCATGTTTCAAGTGCTCAGTAGCTACACATGTGGTTGGACAGCACAGTGCTGGACACGGCCTGGCACGTAGCAGGCGCACAGTAAGCACTACAGGAACAAAGGAGCAGAACACCCTGATGGGCACACTTCACCCCACCACGTGCGACTGTCCCTCTCGCTATGTGGGCGCCGGCTCCCACCATCAGGGAAGGTGTGGGCTGCGGCCTCGGAGGGAGGACTTCCCAGTGGCTCCCCGCCCCTTCAGGAAGTTCGAGAACATCTACATTGGCTGGGGCCACAAGTACAGTCCGGAGAACTTCAACCCGCCCCTGCCAGCCCCCATTCAGCAGGAGTACCCCAGCGGCCCGGAGATCATGGAGATGAGCGACCCCACGGTGGAGGAGGAGCAGGCCCTCAAGGCCGCCCAGGAGCAGGCCCTGGTAGCTGCAGAGGAAGAGGAGGAGGATGAGGAAGAAGATGAGGATGAGGACCAGGATGACTGAGGCTGCATAGCCCCCTCCCCCAAGCAGGTAGATAGCGGTGGTTCCTTATACCTAGCTATGGGCCGTGTTTTCGCTGTTGGGTTGCTTTCTGCCCCTGGAGGACAGGGGCGGAAAAGGAAGGTGGCTGCTGTAAATAAAATGTTTCCATGGCATTGCAGCCCAGTACTTATTCATTCGCTGGCCGGTTTGTTGACATGATCCCCACGTCGGGGCTCTTGGGCTCTTCTAGGAAGGCCAGCATTGCCCCACATACATAGCCTCTCCCTTCTGTTTCATTTATTCGCTCGTCTGGGTATCAGACGACTATTATAATGTCTCCTATCAGCTCAGCCCGGTGCTGGGGACTCAGAGGTGACCAAGCAGCCTCAGCTGTGCTTTCCCAAGGCTCACAGTCCACAGGGGAGACAGACGCACCCCCAGACAATGAAAGCCCAGATGGGATAGCCCAGAGGCCTGACAGAGCCCCTCAGCTGATTCTTAGAGGGTCAAGAGCAGAGTGGGAAGTGGCATTCCAAGCCCAGGGAACACTGCATGCAAAGGCCCAAGGGCAAGAGAGTGTGATGTGCTGGGGAAGTTTCTCAAACCTCATTTTTAATTTATTTTATTTTTTAAGAATTTTATTTATTTATTTTTAAAGAGAGGGGAAGGGAGGGAGAGAGGGAGAGAAACATCAATGTGTGGTTGCCTCTTGAGCGCCCCCTACTGGGGACCTGGCCTGTAACCCAGGCATGTGCCCTGACCAGGAATCGAACCATCCACCCTTTGGTTCACCGGCCAGCGCTCAATCCACTCAGCGACACCAGCCAGAGCTCAAAACTCATTTTTTAAAATTTTTCTTAGTTATTTATCAAGAGAAAGTATTCTTTAGCTCAGACATTTATGTTTTATAGTTCAGGAACACAGTTCAGCAACAAACCTCCACAGAATTCACCCCAAAGAAATTCTCTACATTCCAAGATCACTTTGCACTCTGAAAGACACCAGCCTTCTTCATATCCTCAAAATCTTTCATGGAATCCTAATATCTGTAAAAATCTCCATATGCCGTCTTTCTTGGTCCAACCGCAGCAAACTTACAGAAAGCACAATCCCCAGGAATACAAGCATGGCTCCAACTGTATGGAACTGCAGACGCTAGGCCAGAAGGCCTCGCATCCGAGGTTTGGTCAAAGCACCAGAAGACATGGCAGGTCCAGTCTCCTCAACACCAACGCCTTTCCTGATGGAGCTCAGCCCTCATTTTTGGGAACAAGGTGTCAGGGCTTCATAATGAGAGATGAGATTGGAAAGCAGTTGGCAGAAACAGATCGCTCAGGGCTTACCTTTGCCCTGAGAGCATGGGGGAGTCACAGAGGGGCTTCTGGCAGAGGAGGGAGGGCCTGATCACATTTGTGGTTTAGACATTCCTCTCCAGACGCCCGGGCGGCGGGAGGCAGGAGTCTGGGAGAGCAGAGACAAGGCTGATTCAGGGGGACCCTGAGCAGGAGAGGAGGTGTGTGGGCAGAGGAAGGGGCTGGAAAAGAGGGCTGTAGGTGACAGAATGCAAACTTGGGGACAGGAAGCAGTGGGTGAAGGGAAATTGTAGAAATCTAGGCAGACATTCAGGTCTGCAGCCCGAGTGAGGGGAGTTGGGGGGGGTGCAGTGCTGGCCCTAAGAATGGGACACGGGAGAGGGGTAGGATTTGGAGTAAGATGTCGAGTTCATTGCAGTACTTGTTAGTAGTGAGATGCCTCTGGGACATTCCGATGACAAATCTGGAAGGCCCCTGAATAAGTTGGGAGGAGCACCTGTGGGGGGGCAGAGTGGTTTCCGCAGAAGTCTGGGGCACTGGCTGTCTTTGAGGACTGTTGGGGTCAGGAGGAGATTTGGGGTTACTGGCAGATCATTAGAACACTGGGGAGGTCGCGGGGACCAGTGAAATTTTGGAATCAGATATACATTGGAGTTAGTGGAAAGCATGGAGGTGTTTGAGGGGTTAGTATTAATTAATAGTGGGTCAGATGAAGTACTTGGAGTTTTATGGAGACATGGGGATCGGCAAGATTTTGGTGATCATCAGCAGTGCAGAGGAATGTCTGGAGATGCTATGGACAGTTGGGGAGATTAAAGTGTCAATGAGAAACACTGGAAGTCAGTAGGGTGCATGTTGGGAGTCTGTGGAGTCACTGGGCTCATCTGTGATCTTCTGTGAGATCACGAGGAGGCCAGGAGAGCAAAGAGGCTGTCTCCTTAGGGTTTCCCCGTTGCTAGGCAAACGGTTCCCAGGACTCCGTTGCTAGGGACTTGTGCTGTTTAAAAACCACGCCTCTTTCTCCTGCGGGCCCCGCCCCCGCAGCCAACCACACATCGGTCTCAGGCACGAAGGCCGCGCCCACCTCTTCGCCCCGCCCACAGTCCCAGAATCGTTACCGAGCGACGATCAGGGCTCGTCCCGCCTCCTGACCGTATTGCCAATCGAAGAGACGTCGCCCGGGCGACGACCCCACCTCTTCCGGCGCGGGCCTGCGGCTTCCGTCAGGGGGCTGGCGGCGGGTGGCGGGCGGCGGGCGGCGGTAGGGCAGTGGCGGGGCCCGGGTTGGGGGGGGCGCCCAACATGGCGGCGGGCGGCGCGGAGGGCGGCTCGGGCCCCGGCACCTCCATGGGGGACTGCGCGGAGATCAAATCGCAGTTCCGCACCCGAGAGGGCTTCTACAAGCTGCTCCCCGGAGACGGCGCCGCTCGCAGGTCGGGTCCGGCTTCCGCCCAGACCCCGGCGCCACCCCAGCCTCCGCAGCCCCCGCCCGGTTCTGCCTCCGCCTCCAGCGCCGCGGGCCCCGCTTCCTCTCCGACACCCGCAGGCCCCGGGCCCGGGCCCGCGCTGCCCGCCGTGCGCCTCAGCCTGGTGCGCCTCGGGGAGCCCGACAGCGCCGGGGCCGGGGAGCCGCCCGCCACGCCCGCGGGTCTGGGGGCCGGAGGAGACCGCGTCTGCTTCAACTTGGGTCGCGAGCTCTATTTCTACCCGGGCTGCTGCCGCCGCGGGAGCCAGCGGGTGAGTGGCCTGCATCACGAGCGGCCTGGGTGCTGAAAGGATGAGGGTCCCTAAGTGATTCAGAAGTGGCAGGAGGCCCGAAGCGATCTGGGGGGCCCTACATGGGCATCCTAGACATGATGGACATCGGAGGGGGAAAGGGTTCTTGTAGGTAATACAAAATTCTAAGAGGTGATGGGAAACCTTGGGGATATGCGGGATCCCTGGGGGTTGTGGGATGGTGAGTGTTCTGGAGATGATGGAGAATCCAAGACGATGTAGATACTCCGGGGTTCCGGGCGGCAGGCATTCTGCCGGTGATGCAGGACCTGGAGGTGTTAGGAGGGGGTCTTGTCTTGACTTGAGCAGTCACATCTGACCTTTGGGTCAGGATTTTGGAAGTGATGGGGGCTTAGAGGTAATAGGGATCCCAGAGAAAAATTAGGGTTCTGGAGGTAAAGGAGAATCTCTGAGCTGATAGGAGGTCTGAGGTGGTGAGAGGCCAGAGGGGACATGCTCAGGTGTGATGGGTGTCTCTACAGTGATCTGGGTGCCAGAGGGGATGGGACCCTGGAACTTACTGTGGTCCCCAGAAGTGAGGGGAATCCTGAGAGCCAAGAGGGGGTGAAGGTACCTAAATGTGGGGGACTATGAGGTCTAATGGGTCCCTGAATTGAACTATGATGGGGGTTCTGATAGTTGGGAATTCCAGAGTGAAGGGGTTCCTGAGACAGGCTTTAGAGGCCTGGGGATTTGGATGACCCTGAGTTTGTGGGACTTGGAATGTTGGGGTGCTAAGACCCAGGAAAGTTGGCTGAGGTTATGGGGCATGACTGGAAAGGAATTGGAGCTCAGGGACTATGGGGACCTGGAACCCTGATGCTGTGGGTAAGGGTGGCCCTGAAGTCAGAAGGGTCCAACTTTGGGGTGGGGTGTGGTCTTTTGCCAGGGACGGGGGCATCCTTCCTGACTGTTTTTCTCTCTGCTCTGTCTGAGATGTGGTTCCCTCTTCCCGTCTGTGGTTGCTCCCTCTCTCCCCACTCACCCACCTACCTACCCACTTCCCTCAAGAGTTTAACCCTGCTTCCTCTTAGTGGTTTTCCCCAACCTCAACACCCTCTTCCTTCCTCAGTGGTAGAAGCCTTTAACTCCTTCTCTCCCACCACTTAAGTCCATTGACCTCAACAAGCCAATTGACAAGCGGATCTATAAGGGCACCCAGCCCACCTGCCACGACTTCAACCAGTTCACTGCTGCCACAGAGACCATCTCCCTGCTGGTGGGGTTCTCGGCCGGCCAGGTGCAGTACCTGGATCTCATCAAGAAGGACACCAGCAAGCTATTCAATGAAGAGGTGAGGGGCCCCTTCCCTTCCCTCTCACCCACCCCTCACACACAGTGGACTGCAGGCCCCCGGGAGCTGTGCCCTCATTCTGAGAGGCGCAGGATGAGGGGGAGGGGAGGGGTGCACTGGCAGCTATGTGGGGTGGGTGGCAGATGGCGGTTAGTGTGGTAGCAGCTGACAGTGACACCTGTGCGTCCTGTGCCCAGGCCCTGCGCTCTGGTAGCCACAGGCAGAGCATGTTACTCCTGGGATTCTCATCAAGCACTGGATTCGGGATCAAGAAGACCATTTTGCAGATTAGAGAACTGAGGCTAGTCACTGGTTCAGACTTGTTTGAAGTCAGAGCCCTTAGTCTTCAAATTCTGGGCCCAAGGGCATTGGATTCAAACCCTTGTTGCACCACATCTGCTCACCGTGTGGCTTTGGGAAGCTGACCATTCCCCCCTGAGCCTCAGTTTTCCTCCTCTGCAAAATGGATTTTCATCCCTGCCATGCAGGGTTGCTGTAAAATCACACAAGGAGATTCTCAGTCCTGGGCAGACTCGGCACAACAGGCATGCCAGCGGGCGGCCCTGTCTTGCAGGCAGGGACTACCTGTGTCCTCTGTGCAGAGGCACCGCGGTGTTCTGGCTGTACAGGTGCACGGA